TGTTGGATTAGGAATTCACAATCTTATTCACACTGCTTTCAAAAGGAATAAAGTTATAAAATTTCAAAATTTAGAGATGTTTCTTGTGCAGCTTGTAAGTTTAAAATCAAATTATCATTAAGGTTTGTGTTATCTGGAGATGTAATTATTTGTATTATCTGCTAATTTTTTTATAAAATAATTCGTCAATGAAATATAATTCTTTATTTTCTCCTTATTCACTTACCCTTCCTTACATTACATTCAAAAATTCATTTTACAGATTTAAAAAATTTGAATATGATGAATTTACCAGAATTAAAATTGACCCATAGCAACAACTTCTAAGAACCATTTTCTTCCCAATTAGGTTTTTTACAGTCCTGATGTGCTGGTTTTTCTTCTTCATAGATGTTGTGATGTTTGTTGATTTCAGACATATAAAAATTGAGTTTATTAGAAAGTGATGATTTAAATCTTTCATGTTCTTCTGAGAATATGGGTGGCATTAATGATCTTGATCTATAAACCTCCTTAACTATGGAACTGAGTAGGCGATATGCTTCATTCATGTCGTCTGTGTAAATAATGGAAGAAAAAAATTCTCTGTTCTGTTCACATAGTTTAAAATAAGACTGTCTTGACTCCAATACCAATTTTACACACAATATTGCAAAATCGCATTCTGAGCAAGTTATTTTCTTCTTCCTCACTTGACGCTTCAACTTTTCCTGTTTTTCCATTTGCTTCAAGGATCTATCTGTCAGCAAAGACTCGATGTATTTGATTGTCTCTCTGGGTAAATTTGAAATTTTCTCCTCTTCCTCCTCTTCTACTGTGCCCAAGCTTTCAGTTTTCGTATCTGAAACATTTGAATTAATTTTCTATGGATTTCTGGTTAAAAATTTTTATTATATGATAAATGTATTTAAAAAAACAAATTTTAAGCTCTTGTTGATTTTCTTCATTCATTCAAACAGTGTGTGTCAAACAGATTTGAAAAAGAAAACTGTTGCTACTTTACTCTTTCATATCAAGACAATATTCATTTTCTCACAATATTTAATCATTCATTATAATAATTATTCCCCACAATATTTTTAAGTAATTAATATATATTAGGAATAAAGTTTAATTAATACACTATATTATAATAGGAAGAACGTACCATCTTGATTAGCTATCAAGAATGAATCCGTAAATAATGCACTAATTGCTATATATTCAGCCGTGGATCGTTTTATTTTTGACATTACCTCTTCTGGACCAACAGTTTCATCTGTTTTTGGAGCTGATGAATAAGGACAAATCGAAATCACATAATTAGTTTGTAAGGAAAGTAAAAAGCGAAAAAATCAAATATTCTGTAATTCATACAATAAATTGATTCCTTTCATTGTTTACATAAATAAAAACATTTTAGAATTATTTGATTTTTCTGTCATTTTACTATAACATGTGACTATGTTCACAAATAAAAGAAAACACTGTTTTATGATATTAAAATCTAGTATTTGCAGAATAATATCAGAAATGCCTAATGAATGAATTCATTTTGGCATGAATTTAATTTTGTTAAAAGTATATATATGATAATTATTGAACAGTATTTGCAGAGTGGCAGTATTTACATTCTATTACATGAATAAGTTGAAGAAGGATAGCCAGCCATTCTTTCTTTCTTGGACATGTCCTTTTTTAAGCTTATTTCTTTTGCCTAATTTCTCAATTGGTCTCTTTTTGACAAAAATACTTAGGCATTAGATGGCATTTGTGTCATCTTTCCCCATTTATACAAGGCAGAAAGAATGTTTACCTTGATGAGGTGGAAACTTAATATTTTAATGAGGGAATGTGAGCCTTGATGAAGGAAAAGTTTTTGATCAATTTTGTAATTTGAAAGAATTTGAGAAAAAGCATTAAACTTGATTGCTGAGGATTTTGGAAAATTGTCTTGGCAACTAAAATAGGTAGAAAACTTTAAAGACAATAATTCAGGATTTGTGATCATCAATGATGATTAGTTACATTCAATCTCCAAATAGTAATGTGCCAACCTGGATTGTCGAGGTGGCTACAGCATGTGCCGACTCTGTGTCTTGGTTGGACTGATCAGGGGTTTGAGTTTTGCCTTGGGCATGGTTGTTTTCCCTTGTCTTTCATGTATGTGTGTTGACGCAGAAGGCCTTATGAGTCTGCTGACTGCACATCCAGGATCAGCAAGTGTGTCAGTGCCTAGTGTAAAGGTCATTATGTGTCCCCATGAGGGACATAGTGGGTACTTGGCACATAAAATATAATATTAACTAGAATTTGTGTGGGGATTTCCTTGCTCACTTGAATTCTAAACCAGATTTGTTAAAATAAGTCTCCTTGAAAAGTATTTTTATCGACTGGAACAATTTATGTGGAATTGATAAAGTAAGATTGAACTCTATTGCCTACAAATTACCTATCAATATTATATATTAACACATTCTTTTATCTACATAGTGATTTCTAATGATTGTTCTCTTTTTTCAAAGCTGAGATCTGGCAGCCCAGTGTGAAGTATAAATAACCATGTAATAATAGCAACAAGTGTAATAATTAATCAAAATATTACATTACCCTCTATAATGTGTTTTACAAGTTGATCAGCAATTACAGATTCCACATATTTAATAGTTTCTCTAGGCAAATTTGAAATCTTCTCATCTGCAATATGTTTAGTTACATGGTCAGCAACTAAAGACCGAATGTACTTGAAGGTTTCTAGTGATAATTTTTTTTCTTCTTCTTCCAAGTTTTCTTCTGATATACAATGGCATGATTGTTTTAGAGCTATAATTTATAAAACAAAATACATATATTATGAGGGAATGAGCAAGTTGTTTCATTAATAATAAAAAATAATGGCAGGCTTTTTTAATACCATCAGAAATTATTAATATATTAAGTGGTTTACATTACTCAAAGACAGTAGTTGAGATTAATCAAATGAATGAATTACTTATATTAATCCAAAAATATATTAAATAATTTGTGGGTATTTAATTACTCCCTCACTTAAAAGATTTTAGGTGGACTGTCAGACTTTGCCAGCTGGCTAAAACTTCCCCATGTCTGGCTCTTGTTTCATTCCCATGCTTGGGGGGGGGATAAGAGAGACTTGATATATTCCCTTTGTCATAACTTGCAAATTCTATCTTACTGACCTTTTGTTTGTCTCTCAGGTACAGAAACTGAGAAGATTTTAAAGGAAAGCTACAACTATTTTTGCCTTGACTGGGAATCAAACCTGGATCATACCACAGGAAACTAGTATTATGCTGCCCATATGCCATCCTAGAGGCTATGTTAAAGAATAAGAGCCAAAATAACTTTTACTGTGTTCATAAGGCAGGAACAAAACTATAACAATATCGAACATTTGTTCTCTGCAAGAAATTTATAGAACAAAATTCTCTTTTGAACAATAGTAGTAACAGTAACAGAACAGTTATTGTTAGTTATCAACAATAATATTTAAGACATAAAGAATTGTCCTTTGTTTCACTTTAAAAGAAAACTTTTCACTTTCAAGTTAGTGGTTTTCTAAATGTTTTTCTTAGCCCCCCCCCCCTTACACACACACACACACACACTAAATTCTTGTAATATTCTGTTAAAAACTTGGTTTTGGAAATGCCCTTTGCATTAGATGTGGCAAGACATTGACAAGGAATAGTTTCATTTTTTTCTATCTATATGTGTGTATACACATATATTAGTGTAATGTTTATTGTATGTTATTATTTTATATTGATATATTAATACTGGTTTTTATTATCATATTTCTGACTTAATAAGTAAATAGGTAGCAACAATAAACTAGTATTGTTTTATGGGTTTTAAGAACGAATCTCATTTTTTTAAATACTCAATATACATTTTGACAGTCGTTTCAGCAATGTATCTCGAATCAGTTTTTCAATATCATCAACTTCCTCTTTCTTCATTTTACTTTTCTGATCTGAAAAATAATATTCAACAATATGAGTAAATCCAACTGTAGACTTGAAAGATCCTTGTAACAATTATTAGTAAAATCAAAAGGCTCTTACCTTCTGTAAGATGTTTTGTTAAAGAATCTTGTATCAAATTGTCAATGTACTTCATTGTTGCCTTTTCTTCTTCTTCATTCATTTCACCTTTTTTTTCTGTATTGAGAGAAAGGATAATTAAAGAAAGTAAAGGTGTATTTGAATCCTCTATGACCTCCAGTGACTATGACTGAGTGTAAGATTATATATCTTTAAAATCATCAAAATTTTATTCACTCAAAAAGTCTTCAAAATTTTCGTAAAAGATTGTAGTAATAGTTAAATGTTACATTTAAAAAATTGTCTGAAAAAAGTGTTAGGCCTGCATAAAATGTTTATTTTGTAGCATTAAAAACACACATGCATGTGCATACAAACCGCATTCACAGGTACTCTCCACACCCACTCACTCTCATGCATGTTCACTCACAGACAATCAAAGATTTAAAAGTATTTTAGATGTATAAATGTAAGAAGATATAACATAAGTATATTTGAAAATTACACATGAATCGCAAGAATCATTTGACCGTAACAATGTTTTTAAATTACTGTGATTAATTTCGTTCTTTAAATTTTTGCTAAGTGTAAGATGAAGAAAGACTAAAATCTTTTTATTCACCACTATTAATTTTTTTTAAATTTCAAAGTATATCATGGAGAACAGAGAAAAAGTATTGCGTGTTTTGAAAATGAGCACTATTTTTTGGCTTATCAGGATATATTATGAACTACAATAATCTGTGAGAATGACAATATTTCTGGAGCGAAAAAGAAGTTGTATTCAAATGTGTATGTAGAAATTATCCACACTGCTTAATTTTGAAACTCAGTTTTATCTTTCAGCAAGTGCATGTATTGTGTGGGCTCTTTAAGAACTTTGTTTTTTTACGTGTAATTTACAATAGTTTTTTAAATGATAAAGTGAATATATGCAATAGAGAATTATTTCTTACTTCCTATTAATTGCTTCCAAAGCTGGTTCTCAATCATAGATTCAACATAATGGATTGTGTTTCTTCCTCCTCTTCCAACATCATCATCTTGTTCTGGAAATAAATATCAAAGTATACAATACACAAAACTGAACATCAATTTATAACCAGTTTCCCACCATTCTCTCTAAAACGGGACACATGGCAATATTGAATATTTCTATCCTTTTTGAAATTTTTAGTTATTATTTGTGTGGTATCACAAGATTTTAGTTGATAAGATCCTGATTTTTATTTTTCACTTCAACTTGATTAAATACAATGTGAAACATTTTTCTATTAGACTAGTAGACTTGGAAATTAATATTGTGGGAGGTCATTTTTCATGAATATTGAATGAAAAGATTTCAAGAGTAGGGGTTGGTGCCTACATTATAGATTAATCACTTTTTAGGTCAGTTAACTGATAAAAAATTAATTGTGGCCCATTTTGGAAACAGTGACAGAATACGTAGGCATATGTTGTTCATCACTATGCTCTCATTGAAGATATTATCTTGTGTGTTACCATTACTCTTCTTCTACTGCCCTTCCCAACTTTTTTTTCTGACCTTCTTTTCCTCCGTCTCCTTCTCTCCCTCTCCTCCTCAACCCTCACCTCTCTCTTATTCCACTACCCATCTTCCACTTCTCCTGATGATATTTACAATGTTTAACCAAAGAAAAAATATTCTCCATTTTCTGCCATTGTCCCAATAATGGGAAACATGGTAGTGCTTTTCAGAAAAAATATTTTGGAAAATTTCCCACATATATCTCACAAAAGACATGAACTTAACTACAAAGCCCACAATAACACAAAATAACATCACCATTTTAATTTTGGTTCAAACCCCTTAACCTCCCATTTTGTAAATTTCTTTTGAAGATGCGAGTTTATTAAAGGAAAATATTGACTCAATACTCCAGATGAAAATATTTTAGAAAGGAATTACATTTTATTTATCAAATCTGTAATCTGAAGCAAAGATAATGTATTAAATTAATTGTTTTTTTAAAAAAACATATGAAAATCTTTCTTACTGTCTGTAAGTTTCCTTAACAATGAATCTGTGAGTAATGATTCTATGTACTCATGTGTTCGTTTCTCTAATTCTGCAGTGTCCAATTCTCCATCCGTTGTTTCTGAAGCTGCCTTGGCTTCTAGACCTGGTCAATTAAAGATCATGGCTCAATAAAATAAAAATTAGATTCTACATTTTGAGTAATATTGTTAAAAACAATTTTACTGACATGTAAAAATACTAAGAAAAAAGCAGGTGTACCTTATTCAGAGATGGCAGTAAAAAGTTTGACACTCAAAAATATGCAATAAAACAAATGTAATTCTGTGAAATGTATGTACACACATAACAATTTATTTTACACACAACCACACTGGCCAACAAGCACTTCTATCAAAATGTCAAAGGGAGGTTACAAGGGAAATTTATGTGCATTTATTATCCATTTTATTAAAATTTTTCTACATATCAAATTCAATAGAAATTTTTTTTATGAAATGAAATGTAGACCTAATTCACATTCCACTTTAATACTTTACAGGCAATTCATCAAGTAAACTAAAACATTATGACCATCTAAAGGACAAAATGTATATTTAATGAAAATTTTAGCAGCAACAGAAGGGAGAGGGTTGAGCTGGAACTGGGTCAGTGTAGGATGACAATGGCAAAATGGACAAGGAATGGAGCATGATGGGTTAAGGTGTATACCCACCCAACTCTGTAGGCAAGGATACACCATACATAGAATCCATTTCTTTTCCAATCTAATAGGTAATTATGATGTATAAATATCCTGGCAACGCAGGGTACTTTGGCTTATTTTATGATAAAAAGTATATTTAGTAAGGGGTCATCCATAAATTATGTAACACTTTTTAGAGTATTTTGAAAAACCCCTCTTCTCCTCCGCCCCCTTGTAAC